ATATAATCTTAAGACACTGTTATTTATATGTTCCTTGAGGTCAGGGACATGACTTACTTGATTTTGTGCCCCTCTCCCATCCATACTAAACCCAGCATTGCCTTTATGTTATGGTAGTTGCTCAATTAATATTGATTAAATTGAAGTGAATGGGCTCTGGGCACTTCAAGAGACATACCACCAATACTAATGTATGTAAGAACTTCATATTTCCCCTAAAGTTAAGTCTTCTTGAATTGATTTTGAACTTGCAGTTTAACTTACACTGTTCTTAAACCAATAAATACAGCACTTCTGCTAAAATTCAGAGCTACTATTATGGGCTGTCCCCTGTTCAGTGGTGCCTGGTCAAGGGGGCTAGAAATTAGCGCACACTCTTCAGACTAAGGCCTTTGCCTGTAGGACTGTCCTCACAAAGGGGCACTTTCTTCTACTTTGCACAAAGGCACTGTATGGGCTAGCAGTATGCCCATTAGAGTTGTACTTTTTGTGTTTTCCTTTCTTTCTTTGTAAATGAAAATGACACTTGAGACAGAAGCACAGATTTTCCCTTTAAGAAAACATGTATCTATAATCCCAGACTTAACCTCTAAAATGTTACACATAAATATTAATTGTGCCACTCTACATGTTGGATTATTGTTTGTTTTTATACTATTGATGATGATCATATATGTTCTTTCCCTTCCCCTAATCTATTTGGAAAGAGCAGTAGGATATCACTTGTAAGTAAATGGATAGGACCCACATTAGAGTACTGAAAATGTACCCAGAATCTCCAAAAACAAAGAGTTTACTTTCTTTCTACTAAATGGCGTAGACTTACATTTTCTCCCTAGACGAGTTGTACGTGGACAGACTCCAAAGAGTTTGCGGGAGCATGATCCAGAGAAGTGTTACCCGTATATCTCAGAGTGGGGGAAAAGAGCAAATTGCTCAATTCCGGAATTCCGTGGGAACCCTCCTATGGTATGTATAATTCATTATTGCTATTACAGTTTTATTACTGACAAGATTCAAACTGTGTCTTAGAAATGAGTCCACATGTCATAGTTGTCCATTACAAATGCCATGAAACTGGCAGGGGGTTACCAGTATCTACTTCTTGCTGCTCTACTTATTGGCCAGAATTATTTCTTAAAAAATAAGCTTTGCATTGGTCTGTTAACAATGTCTTGATATAAAATTTAGAAAATGCAGTGTTTTAAAATGCTATTTGTGTTCTTCCCTGCTCTTCTGAGTGTGAAGGCCATAATAACATCAGTTAGGCATTTTCAGAGGGATACTGTGGGATTCCATTCTGAACGAGTTGAATAGTTCAAAGAATCACTTATGAGGACCTGGGGACCTCTTCAGATGCCATGAAGTAAGACTTATATACACCTTTCAGAACTAGAAAGGAAGTTGGTAAGGTGGCACCTAAGGCTGTCATTAAGCTTCATCAGGGCTTGTCTATAAGCCATTAAAAACCAAACTCACTGCCATCGAGTCAGCTCTGACTTACAGAAACCCCTCCTTGGGTTTCTGAGGCAGTGTCTCTACAAAAGCAGATTGCCCAGTCTTCCTTCTGAGGAGTGGCTGGTGGGTTTGAACTGCCAGCCTTCTGGTCAGCAGTCAAATGCCTTAAGCATTAAGGAGACTAGAAAACTATATTCACATCAACAGCCACGGCACTGCCTGGGTTGGTGGGATGTGGCAGAACCAACTTGACAGCATCTAACAACAACAACTAGGAGTATTCTTCTTCTAAACACAGCATGAGTACTTAAAAGCCTTAAGTAGCTTTACCCATTAAGGAAAGCCAACACACATATCAGTGAACTTCCCCATTATATGCTGACATCAGTAGAAAAGAAAAAAAGTGGAACTGTATTTTCAGTCCTCCTATGGACTGAGGGAAGGTACATTCAGTGAGAGCTGGAGTCAGAGTAGTACTACCTTAATAAGCATCTACCTGAAAGGAGCTTCTGGAGTTCTGAGAATAATATTAGAGGCCAGGTCCAAGCCATAGATCCATTGACATCCATGGTGACACCCAGGAAACAGATAGATGATGGAAGAGTGTTTTAAAAATATATGAAAATGAAGGCCAGCAGCATAACATTCCTGCCCTTTGGGAAAGATATTCTTCATCTTTGGCTGGAGATACAAGACATTTAGGTGCCCTCAACTTACTACAGTAAATTTCTGAAAAAAAATTAATAGATCCTATCTGAGACGGTGAGAGGCATGCCCTGATTTACTCCTCTTTGGAATACATCCTGTGAAGTCACCCATTTAGGTAATATGGTCTTCTAAAATTTTTTGTTTCTTCAGGTATTAAACTAATAACTTAACTGGTTGACTCCCAAGATGAATTTGTTTAAGTGATTTCATATAGTCAACAATGCTACAGGGTAATTTCACTATTTTGAAGCATATATTCTGGCAAAGGGAATGTTGAGAAATCTGAGAATCTTTGTTTGCTCCCATTTAGCAAGTGCAGTGCATAGCTTCTAGAACTTTCCAGGATATTGGAGAAACAGCTAAATTCTTGCACACATTTTTAATCTTAAAAGAGTTTAAACCGACAATGGCTAAGAGAAAGCAATTTGAATGTTGCATTAACAAATATGATGTTGCTGAAATGCTATCCTTTAGAGAAATGTTCATTCCGAAACCAACCTTGCTCTGTTGTAGGGTTATTGCAACTACAGTTGTAACACTAAGAGGAAATCCCATTCTTGTGGGCAGTGCCTCTTGGGAAAGTTTCATACTGTAGATAAAGTTCCCCAATGTGGTCAAGGAGAATGCTCATTTTTATAGGCTCAAAAAGTTTATTTATTTTCAGATATTTCTATGTGTTTTGTTGTAGAAGAAATTTATTAACCTAATATCAAATATTTGATATTATAGAAATTAACCCAATTTAATTTTTTTTGTCCCTATGAATCCTTTATTTATTAGCTACTACTCCTTATCACACTCTCATTCTAATTTTTGCTCTGATTATAGACTTGGAAATGGATAGTGGGTCCCATGTTCCTGTATCTCTGTGAGAGGTTGGTCCGGTTTTGGCGATCTCAACAGAAGGTGGTCATCACCAAGGTATTGGTTGGTTTAGGAATTACTAGTAGTCAATATCTAACTACATCATGGACAAGTCTACCCAAATGTTCTGTATCATAGGTTGCTTACACCCAGTTCCTTTTGATTAAACATATGGCAGAGAGCAGAACTACAGTTTATTTCAATGGACTTAGCTTGAGAGTCAAATAGTTATTAGGGCCTTTTAACCAGGGAAACTTGAAGTTAACGCTTTTCTGTTGTAAAATGAAGCCAAGTGCTTTGTGTGCATGAATGTGTATATGTGTACAGGGGAGGAGCATAGAGGGATTATGTAGTTAGTTAAGAGTGGTGGATAGGGAAAAAAAAGAATGAGTTTAAAAGGCATAAATTGAACTTTAAATAAAATATTCAGATTTCCAAAAAATCAGGGGACCAAAGCAAGTCTGATTGAGGTTAAGATTGTTTCCCAGGTCCTCTTTAGAGCCTTTACCTTTTCTGTGCATTATAGATGATCAGAGTTGAAATACTGAAAGTCTCAAGCACATTTGTGACTAAGCCATATCCAGAACTGGGTCTCGTAACTCTAATTCTCAAGTATTTATCTTCCCACTCTACCATGATTTGTCTTATAAAAAAGAAATAAATATCCAACTGATAAACATAAATGGAAACTGGTTATAGTTTCAGGAAACACCAGGGAAGAATATTTTTAACAACTACAATTTAATTCAATTCAACTCTGATCAAAAAGTATTTATCAAAAGCCCATTAAGGGTTACTTTTGTAAAATACACAAATTCTTCCTGCCCTCCATTATAGCTTTCCTCTCTTGGCATCTATGGAGAGTACAGTAAAGTTAGTCCAACCGGCATAGGAAGTCTTGAAATATAGGAAGCCACAACAGTTCTCCTTTATATATTTGTATTTATATTGTGTTATAAGAGAAATTATATAGATCAGTAAAATGAGCTACCACAAAATTTCCCTAACTGGACTAGAGAAGACTGAACCAGACAAGTATTTCGTATAAGCAAGTTTCTAAGACAACTTTATTTTTCTGTGAAGGAAATAGATACTCATTTTCTTCTCATAGAAACAAACAAAAGATTCAAGGTGATATCGAAAAGTATTCCAGCGAGAATATTATCCACTAGTATTTTTATTTAATTAAATTCTGTTTTTGCCTGTGGTAGCAGAATTGCAATATGATAAAAATTGTTTCCACCACAGAAAATTGTAACATGGTAAATATAATAATCAACATAATGTTCATCAATTTTGATTTTTGTTTTTCAAAATGAGGTTTTACAACTGCTTTGTTCAGAGTACAAGGACAGTTAGTTACAGCTTTTTCATATAATGCACATTTAAGTCATGAATCCTGGAAATTTTTATTCACAAGATTTCCCACTCTTTTACTCCCCCCTCCAAAGGAAAGCCTAGTAATATCAGTCAGCATTAATTAAACCAAACACATGGCCATCGAATCAATTCTGACTCATAGGGACCCTACAGGACACAGTAGAACCACCCCATAGGGTTTCCAAGGCTGTCAATTTTTACAGAAGCAGACTGCCTCATCTTTTTCCTGTGGAACGGCTGGTGGGTTCGAACTGCTTACCTTTTGGTTAGCAACCAAATGCCTTAACCACTGCATCAACAGAGCTACTTCAGTCAGCATCAAAACCAAAACCAAACTCACTGCTGTTGAGTCGGATCCAATTCATAATGACCCCTCCTTGGGTTTCCGAGGCGATATCACTACAGAAGTAGATTGCTCAATCTTCCTTCTGAGGAGTGGCTGGTGGGTTTGAACCGCCAGCCTTCTGGCTAGCAGTCAGATGACTTAGGCACTAGACCACCAGAACTCTTATTTCAGTCAGCATTAGGAAGCTGTTATTCTGTTTCTATTTATTTTTCTTTCCTTCGATGTCCCTAGATTTATCTTTAGTTAAACAAAGTCCCTTCTAGGAATATTAGGAATTATCAGAGAGAGATTATATCATGTTCCATATTACAGTGAGAGGTCTTTACTATGACTTTTTTTTTTATTATATATTCATTCACCAATTGTTGAGCCTTTTGGATGGTTTATAACTATGTTAAAACTATTCATATACATGGAAAATGTAGATGGCAATGGGTGGGTAGGGGCTGGCTTGGTGAGAGGTGGATGGTGTATTTTCCATGTAGGGACAAATGTAGAACCGAAGCAAAGAATCAGGCATGTTCAAGATGTTATTCAGAGCAAAAATATACCAGCATTGGTTTGGGTAGATATAGCTATACAACTAGCCAATAGGATCTCTCTCTTCTCTCCAGATGCTAAGACCCTCACTCATCCCCTAAAGCCTGGGGAGATAGGAAGGCTAAGCAGAAAATCGTCCCTTCTTTCTATTTCTAGCACATTTCTTGAGTTCTTGGACAAAATTGCTCACGCCTAGGTTGGATTCCCAGGAAATGGATTCTGAGACAGAGAACTGAATCCAGGATATTTATTGGGTCATGTTTTCAGCAGATGAACCTATGCAGGAAATTGAAGGAAAGAAAAAGAAATAGAAACAAAATAACAGCTTGCCAATGCTGACTGATATTACTGGGCTTTTCTTTGGGAAGGCAGTAAAATAGTGGAATATCCTTTTAATAAAAATTGCCAAATATTTGCAGAATGCATTATTGGGGAAAGGGAGATACTGACTCTCCATGTGGTTGCATTCTCAACCTTAGCTGATCCTGTGAGGAGTGCTGAAATTGGGAGGACTCCTCGGAGATGTCCCAAGTTGAGGAGAGGGACCAGGCCTTTGTATCCCTGCATCAGGCAGCCATTGGTCACTGGCTGCAGTGGAGGGAAGTTCCTAGTAAGAGCCACAGCTGCTGGAGGAACTGCTGTGTTGGCCCTGAAGAAGGGATCTGGGCATGGCATCTTAGCTCTACCCTCTTATCCGTGGGGACCCAGAAAAGACAAGTATTTGGAAAACGTATGGTTTCCAGGGACATGTTTTGTTCCATAGGTGGTCACGCACCCTTTCAAAACTATTGAGCTACAGATGAAGAAGAAGGGATTCAAGATGGAGGTGGGACAATACATTTTTGTCAAGTGCCCCAAGGTGTCCAGGCTGGAGTGGCATCCCTTCACACTGACATCTGCCCCTGAGGAAGACTTCTTTAGCATTCATATCCGCATCGTTGGGGATTGGACGGAGGGGCTGTTCAATGCATGTGGATGTGATAAGCAGGAGTTTCAAGATGCCTGGAAACTACCTAAGTGAGTACAAAGCATACATTTCACAGATAAATGAGTTTAGGAAATGTGGAACTAACTAGCTTCTTTTCCTCCATCTCTCACTATAATATCTCCTGAGATTTCAATAAAACACATAGGTTCTAAGAAATAAGTGCTATCTCTGTGTTCCCCATTTTATGTGTCGGGTGTGTTTATACATATTTTTATAACTCTTATGTGAAATATAAGACATTTGAATCCAATATTAGTAATGGATGCTTCCAAATTCCTTTAAGAATGTAAAGGTCAAGGGCAAGGTTTATTAACTTTTCCTAACAAAATAATAGTGTATCTAAGATGTTGTTAAAGCTCAATTGGCATAATTTTTTTGAGGATAAGTGTCATATATCATTCCCCGTGGCTTCCTACTCCACACATACTTAACATTGTGTCAGCCACTTAGTAGATGCTGAAGAAAGTTTGGTGAGTGAGCCAATGAATAAACAAATAAAAAATGAGGATGTTAAATATACAACATAAAGAAAAACACACTGCTGTCAAGTCAATTTTGACTGTAGCGACCCCTCCTTGGGTTTCTGAGGTGGTATCTCTACGAAAGTAGATTGCCCTGTCTTCCTTCTGAGGAGTGGCTGGTCGGTTTTTACTGCCAGCCTTCTGGTTAGCAGTCAAATGCTTTAGGCACTATGCCACCAGAGCCCCTATACAACATATTATGATGTATGAAATTTTCACTTCATTATGCAAAGCAAACAGAAATTTCAAGTGTGATGTGCCTTGACAGGAGATACAGGTGTGTGTGTGTGTGTGTGTGTGTGTATGCGTGTAAATGTGTGTGAGAAAGAGAGAATACCTGTACTGAGTAACCAAATGTTTTCAATAACCGAAAAATTCCTCTTCTTACTACCAATGCCCATGTTCACACTAAGATGATTACTCCAAAGTTAGTTCATAGAAGAAAGCGCACTATAGATACATTGCTCTAATTTGAATTGACATATTTCATATCCCCCAGAGTTCTGTGTTCCTTCTCTGAACAACAAGATATTTCATTAACTATATCCTCCTCCAACTCCCTCCAGGATAGCAGTTGATGGACCTTTTGGCACAGCCAGTGAAGATGTGTTCAGCTATGAGGTGGTGATGTTAGTGGGAGCAGGGATTGGGGTCACGCCTTTCGCATCCATTCTCAAGTCAGTCTGGTACAAATACTGCAACAATGCCACCAATCTGAGGCTTAAAAAGGTAGGTTCCTCAAAGATTATTAGTGGTTACCAGGGATAGAAGGGAGGGGAAAAGGGCAGACTTTCGTTTGGGGGGCATTGAGTTTATGCTAATGGTGGTAGAATGTTTTGGGAAAGGATAGCAATAATGATGGCACAACATGAAAAATGTCATCATGGTTCCTGAGCTGTAAATGTGGAAGTTGTTATGTTGGTGAATGTCTTGTTGTGTATTTTTTCACCACAATTT